GGGGGGGGGAGGAGGATGGATAACACACAAAGTTGACAGAAAATGAGACCACATAAGGGGACATAAAAATTGAGGTGCCTCAAACAAACTCATGCAGGGTCAACTGTTGTTCTTCACAGGAGTAAAACAATCCACATGCTCAGAGATGCTCTTGTCCCGATGTAACTACTACAGGAGAGAATGGTGGAGGCAGTGTGAGAAACAACAAAGTGGACCCTACAGCCATCTCTCCAGTTCTGCTTCCTTTAACCTGCTGTCCTCCAGATGTGTTGGGCTACTATCCAAGGATGATGGGAGCTGCTGTCCAACACACACAGAGGGAGGGTCAATTGCTGTTCTCCACAGGAGTAAAACACGCCACATTAATGCAGGCTGGATGAGAAGGACTCCGTTTCTTATACTTCTAAAGGTTTGTTGATGTTGTGTGCCTTCAAGTCGCTTCTGACTTATGACGATCCTACAGTGAATCTATCATAGGGCTTTCTTGGCAAGACTTGTTCAGGGGAGGTTTACCATTGCCTTCCCCTGAGGCTGAGAGAGTGTGACCTGCCCAGGGCTGGGAACCGAACCCTGGTCTCCAGAGTCCTAGTCCAATGCTCAAACCACTATGCCAGCCAGTGGGAAATGCTCCAAATTGCTTTCCATGGAAGAGTGTGTTTCTTCGTTTGATCTGTTCATCCCCAATCATTCCCCATTCATTGCTATTGCCATGAAACCATGCCGGGTGGGGGGAAAACCACACTGGGCAGTATATCCACCAAGAAACAGGATTCCTCCTACAACATGATCTGCTGCAGATGAAGAACTCGGCCCCACGCCAGTGAAGAATGCTAATTTAATACTATCCTAATAATTGCCAGGAATTGAATTCAATTGAGTTCAAAGAGATCACAGCCAATTGCATCTATGTATCATCATCAGCATTTACCTGTTAATTCAATACGCAGGTTGTTTTTCTGTGCGTGTGTATGTGCTTGTGTATTAATGTTCCATATTTTTACTAAAATTGATTATCTGTTTTAGTCTGTATTTTGTGTTTATGTGTCTAGCTTTTTGTGCACTGCAGTTTACCATTGTATTTTAGTATTGTATTCTGGTATTGTATTTTAGTATTTTATATTGAAGCAGTTATATATGTTTTGTTCTGTTGTAAAGCACCATGTATATCAATGGTGCTATATAAACAAACAATGATATTAATAGTAAGAAGAAGAAAAAGAAGGAGGAGGAGGAGGAGG